ACAACTTAATAAGTTAGTGGTGCACTAATTAACAGGCTTTGTAATGTTATTAACCAATCTCCTATTGTCAAAACTATAGAATGCTGATGGCATGCAAAAAAAGAAAGCAAAAGACCCACCACATCACTCTGCTGAAACTAAATATCTCAGCCTTAAAGGAACACTATAGGCACTCAGACCACTTCAGCTCATTGAAGTGGTCTGGGTGCAGTGTCCCTGTCTCCCTTAGTCCTACAATGTAAAGCATTGCAGTTTTAGAGAGACTGCAATGATTACATTACAGGACTAAGACTGCCTCTAATGGCTGTCAATCAGACAGCCACTAGAGGCACTTCCTGGTGGCTAGCCGACTTTTGATCGCCTAACTGATGCTGGACATTCTCACATTATGCATGAGGACATCCGGCGTCACCCGAAACTGCACAAGAAAGCATTGCATGGGGAGGGGGAGCCACGTAGGAGGGAGCACTATAGGGAGCTATAGTTCAAGAAAACCAACATGTTTTCCTGGCACTATAGTTTCCCTTTAGAAATTGCCAAATTATGTTCCATTGGGGATAATTATAAAAACCAGACATGGGTGAATGGGAATCTGTTTATGGATCACCAAGCAGTAATGGCCAACCTAGACACTGCATATCTTTGTAAACTACATTTCCCAGCATTCTCAGCTAACCCCTCGTCCTAGATCGTATTTATGCAAAATAATTATTGAATCCTAGTTATATAAGTTTTTTTAAATAGAACAATTGAATGGTCATAGGTCATATTATTAGTCTGATTGTTACTCTGTTGACTGTGAATGACTATAAAACAGTGTTCAGTATCATGATTGTTTCAGCAATAAATATAAATAAATACAGTTGTGTGTCACCTTCCTGCCCTTAGTGAACCTACGAAGATAAATTGTAATAATGTGCAATGATTAGTTTGGAAATGGAATTTGAAGATAGAGACTACCTTTGGCCCTAGTTAAATATTAATGGTTTTCTTAAAAGACCCATCAGTCTATGACTTTGCTTTTTAGCCTGTTAGTTCCAAACATTTCCACCTTTATTAACACAATCATGTGTGCGGTCCACTATCTTCTCTATATTTAGATTCCACTCTTCTTAAACATACCTCAATTTCTGTTAAGACATCTGGATTATTGAGATTTAAATCTGGTTGCTCTTTCCGGAACTGGTGGAAATAACATTGATTTCTGGTGTCGTCATACTCCCATGCAGAATTTCCATATACACTGAGCTGAGAATAATATAAAGAATGGTGATACATACCATATTGGGGTCACAATGTGCCTTGTGCTCCTTACATTTACAAATACGCATTTATTTCATTCCAAAAGAAGTGTAAGAGTTATTTCTTCAGGAATTCAAAGTAATTGTTAAATATTAGGGCACAGTAGCTAAACTGAAAATGTATCACTCTTGCTGTGTTTTCAGTTCAGCTATTTTGACCTTAATGTTGAAATTCATGTTGAATTCCTAACAATTCACACCTTCGTGTAAACAGTTAATAACCATTTTAGCACTGTTCAATAAATAAAACCCTAAACAAGTTTAAGTAACAAACAGCAAACTGCATAAGTGAGTATATGGAGAAACTCCAGCCATTGTTAATATAATGAGACTGGTTTGCTGGACATCGAAGTAATCTGGCAGCCAAAGAGAGTGGATGAACGATGACGATTTCACCGTACTAGTCAGTGGGGGGGACGTTGTTAAGTGAACATGGGCACTGTGTGGCCGTAGCATTCAAAATAACTAAGTGAGTAGAGCAACGAATCTGCATCAAATTCTGCTTTAAAGGGACACTTTAGGCACCCAGACCACTTCAGCTCATTGAAGTGGTCTGGGTGCCAACTCCCATCACACTTAACCCTACAAGTGTAATTATTGCAGTTTTTTATAAACTGCTATAATTACCTTGCAGGGTTAAAGGGACACTCCAGTGCCAGGAAAACAATCCGTTTTCCTGGCACTGCAGGTCCCCTCTCCCTCCCACCTCCCATCCCCCGTTGCGGAAGGGGTGAAAACCCCTTTAGTGACTTACCAGAGGCAGCAACGATGTCCCTCGTCGCTGCTTTTTCCTCCACCCACGCTCCTCCTCTTCATCACGTCAGCCGGCGGGGGAGACCTAATGCGCATGCGCGGCAATGCTTTCCTATGGGGATTTTAGCGACGCTGGAGGTCCTCACATAGCAGAATCCTGCTGTAATCCCGGAAGTGCCCTCTCTTGGCTGTCTACTAGACAACCACTAGAGGAGGAGTTAACCCTGCAAGGTAATTATTGCAGCTTATAAAAACTGCAATAATTACACCTGCAGGGTTAAGGGTAGTGGGAGTTGGCAACCAGACCACTCCAATGGGCAGAAGTGGTCTGGGTGCCTGGAGTGTCCCTTTAAGCACTCCTCTTGTGGCTGTCTACCAGACAGCCACTAAAGGGACTTCCGTCTCCTGAGACGACTTTTGCATGAGGACCTCCAACGTCGCCGGAATCCCCATAGCAAAGCATTAAATAATGCATTCCTTTGGAGAGGTCTCATGCGTGTGTGCGGCCACCATTGCGTGGCAGAGCCTAACCCAGCGCTGTGAGACATCGGTGCTGGATTTACCTAAGTGTCTGAAGGGGTTTTAACCCCTTCAGCGATGTGGGATGGAGGGTGACACTCCAGGATCCTCTAGTGCCAGGAAAACGGGTTTGTTTTCCTGGCACTGGAGAATCCCTTCTAGATTTAACATTCAGATGATTCAAAAGGCTCTCGGGGACAATGCAATGAGTGCAGCAAAAACAATAGCTTCAAAGATGGTCAAGAGTCTCTTGAAAGATTTGGTGCTCTGCAGCTTCAGGTAAAATTCAGGTAAATACAACGAGGCAGCTGATGGCGATTCCAACAAAGGATCTGGCAATGTTTTGAAGTCTTTTGTATATATATGTACCCTAGTAATTATATTGATTTAGATTTTTATTTTTTCTTTACATACACATTTTTCCTCTACATATTACATTATTATGTTTTCTACTATTGACACTTACCTAGTGTGTCCACGACTCACATTTGTTACTGACATTATTCTTTTAAACTGATATAATAAAAGTGAAGTTTTAGAGAATAAACCATTGACATTTCATTGGTCAGGGATTTTTCTCTAAGTTCATCTCAATATTTCATTGGGTTCATGCCCGCATTTATCCCCTTGACCATTTTACGTTAAACTCCCACCCTTCCCAATTGTGTTTTGAACAGTGCAAGAGATGCCGGGAGACCTGTGCGAGGTCCCAAGGTGCCTACTTTGAAGGGGACTGAGGAGTCAGAGTCCTATGTATAATGTTTCTTGTAACTTATTCAATAAATGTGTCTGTTTTTCATATTACATGGCTGGATACATTACACACAGACATCGTATGCTCAGTATTTAAGTAAACAAAAATCAGTAATTACCCAATTATTAGGAGGTACTCCTAGAACACAGTCATGCCAGATGTAGTAGTCTGTGTACTTTCCAGTTCGATTCCTACTCAACTGAAACCACTGATGCTTATTGCTTGTGTGATTTGGGATTAAATCAATGATGAGTTTTAAACCTAATGAAACAGGAGAGAACTTGTTATCAGTTGTCAGATGTTTTGTTGTTGTTATCTCCAACATTACAGTATCCTAGCAGGTAGCAATCAAGAACAAATATATCCTTCAAGCACAATTTTCATGTTGCTTAAATACTGTACAATTGGTTTAACTTTTTACTACTTCATACTAAATGCCAAGGCGTTGTGTATTGTATATATCCATAGGTGGGAGTTATCACCCGCACACTAAAAAAAGAGCAGAGTGTAACTCTATACAATGTGAGTTGACATTTATAACATTATTTAATAAACCACAGCATAAATACAGCATTACTTTATTGCTGCCTGTTATTTTTGCCATGAGAACTATGAAGGATTTCTCTCTACTATGTCTACAATATATCCCTAAGGAGGGATTATACCCCTGTAAGTGCTCCATTGTGAGCATAGAGTTGCTCAAAAAAATTTGAGTGTGGAACACTTTTTATAAAATAACATTTTAACTTAGACAGTAGCAATTACCTATACTTGCACCAGTTATGTATAACAACCTCTCTTCACCTGCTCAATTCCGACACTGCATGCCTTTAACTCTTCGCCCATCCACTCTCTCCTATGGTTTAATTTTTTCTAATCTCCTTATGTACAATACAAACTCCTATTCTCTTAGTAATGTTCTCCGTTTTATTTTTCACCTTTGCCTGCACTTTTGTCATTGCTAAAATCTCTTAATCTTTTTGCTTACCTTTCCCTACTTTATTTCCTTCCCCCTCTATACACTTTTCTCATATATCCACCGTTTCCCCACCAACTAAAGCCTCCAAATACAAGCTCTCACCCCAAACATTTAAATCTTACACCCACCTTCTCCTCCTTTCTGTCCTTTTCCTCCTTCTCTCCCGTTGCTCCTCTCGCACCTCGCCCCACTGTCAAAAATTGCATTGGCTTCCTGTACCCTGTAGGTGTCAATTCAAAATACTAACTCTTACCTATAAAGCTTTAAACAATTCTACCACCTGTTACATATCTTCACTGATTCATAGGAATAACCCTTCCCGGTCTCTCCACTCTGCTAGTGACCTTCTCCTGGCCGCTGCTTTTACACCTACTGCTCTTGCAATACTTCTCTCTGGTGGCTCTGTTCTTTTGGAACAGCCTGCCTACCCCCATCAGACTCTCCCCTAGTCTTCAATCATTTAAGATGTCCCTCAAAACCCATCTTTTCAGAAAAGCTCCTCCCAGAGTAACTTCAATTTCACAAATCTGTCATTTGCTCTCTACTAAAGGGCCATACTCCACTCTCACCTTCAGTTCTGCTACTTTCCCAACTTGTCGTTTGGTTGCTATCCCCTCGATGCCCTTCCTATTATGTTGTTCTACCTCACCTCCCCTAGACTGTAAGCTTGTTTGAGCAAGGTCCTCATCAACCGATTCTTCCTGTAACACTTGTAAATCTCTCATTTATTGTAAAATTTCCCTCTTTTATAATGTTGTAAAGCGCAGTGGAATAGGTTTGTGCGACATAAATGGTGATAATATACAATGCTGCATATATTGCACCTTATTCTGTGTGCTCTGTGCCATTTTTAACATACTTCAATCAGGGGATCTCTATTCTCTGCACTTGTATTATATATATATTTTTATATATTATGATGTGCTTGCACTTGCATTCTCTTCTTTCTTTTGTATTTAAATTATACACATTATGGGCAGGTAAACTTGTAGTTCTTTAGCTATCATTAGGCATAATTTTCCAAATGCATTCATAACAAGTCACTCACATATGTTTAATTACCTAACATGGCAAAAATACAGTTAATGAGAACAGTAAGAAGTGTCTGCAACCTAATACCTTGTCCTTCAGTTGTTGCTCATATGAATGTACATACAGAATGATCCACATATACACAGCTAGACACACATTTATACATGTGTTTTGTTTATTTTTGCACCCACGACTCCCCATGCAGCTGTGGGGAAGGAAAGGGGCTCTGGTGCTCTACCCGGTGTCTATAAAATGGGGATTAAGTGAGACGTCCATTTTGTTCCTTCTTGCTGAGTTGTACATTAAATAGACAGTAAATATGTGGCCTCACATAATGGCACCTTCTGCCTGATATTTGAATATGTGGTCTAAAGTAACACCACCTGCCATCTAGAGTCTGTAGGCAACGATCACTCTGCCAGCACACAGTGACTGGTTATAATGCAGAGGAAGCACCAGGGTTTGTCCTGATATGTAGAGCATTAAATAAGTTGATAGTATTTGTGTGTAAAGGAAAGAAAGTTATTTTTTATTTACAAGGTGGGCCAATACCAAGTGCATGATGGGAATCTTGTGTCCAAAGTGTGAGTGTAGATTGCAGGACGTGACCAAGAGGCATCTATAGACAGCTGCCTACTCTGCGTTTAGGGGAAATTAAGGGCTGGTAGCAGTGAATAACAACACCAAAGTCCTCTACCAGGGTCAAAAGGAAATCCTTCCCCTTAATTATTTATAACGTTTTTTGTTTTTTTTTGTTGTTTTTTTTGTACAATGATCCTTGGTCAATACAGAGTAGAACCAGTGTTAACTTACCTTTATCATGCAGAGCAGAGATCATACTATCAAAGTCAGCCATTGTGCCAAAAGTGGGGTCCACATCCCTGAAATCATCGACTGCGTAATTGTAATCTTTCAGTGAAGCCTTGTAGAAGGAAGCGACCCAGACATTTTTCACATCGAGATACAAAAAGTGATTTATTTTTTCCTGAATTCCTAAAATTATGACAATAATGATCACAGCTTTGCTTTATACCAACTGACCTATGCAAAGCCAGCTCTCTTGGAAAAAGCAATAAAACCCACACTGTAGTTTAGCCACAGAAGGAGATAATTATCATAATGAAAAATAATTTGCACAGAATTAATATTAGCCAGTCGGGAACTAGTAACTCTGTAAGAGGTGTAACTCCACCAGATGGGTTAATCTCAATGTGTGCATCTTTTCAAAGCAAATCACTAACGTTGTCATGGTGCTTGGAGTTTTTGCAAAAAGAAAAAATGAACTGTACACCAATCATGTGAAGATCCAGGTGCTAAACTGGACCAAGGGCCAGCACCAGCCCCAGGGAGTAGATAACAGTAGTAGAAAGAGGATCCAGGCACTCCAAGTATCTTCAAATGTGTTTGGTGAGACACCGCAACATTTCGACCCCTGAAAGGGTCTTTGTCAAGTGGCTTGACAAAAAACCTTTCAGGTGTTGAAACGTTGCGGTGTCTCACTAGTCCCAACAAACACATTTGAAGACACTTGGACTGCCTGGAACCTCTTTCTATTACTGATGGTGCTTGGAGTAACTCATTAATAATACACATATATATTATATCCTGCTGACATGCAACTTGTAGACCAAGGTCTTGTTACGGTGAATAATTTACACAATGAACAAGTCAATGTTTCATTCCAGGAACTTAACAGAAGCTTATTTAATACATTCTAGTCTGAAAGTTAGAAGTTTAATGATTTTCTGCGAATATCTTCTGGAAACGTGTTTAACAGGACCACACCAGTAATTTTTTCTTTTTTGTTGAAACCTCTACACAAGAAAATAAGTGTTCAGCTTCAGTGTATTAGGCAGCATAATACAATTCATGGTTATTTGGTAAAGTAAGAATTCAAAGTGAATTTCAAATTTAAGGCCGTAGCAGCTGAACTAAAAGCATATATAACTTATATATACATATATGACCTTAAATTTTAAATTTCCTTTGAATTCACATTGAATAAGGTGAATACCACTGAGCTAAGACTGTAAAATATCCGGTAATGCCAATATATTTCTAAAGAGGAGCAACAACTAATGTTCACTGGTGCACACTAACGAAAATAATTGCATACTTTGTGAACTTGTCTAGAGTCATTATACATTATAATAAATGTCTTGAGTCATTATAGTAACCTTCATAACATGTTGGCAACACGGCAGCATTGCTTCTAATAGTAAGCATCCTTCTACCATAAATTAGTCCAGCTTATCCTGCATCCTTAGATTCCTGAGGTCACAGTGGTGTAACTAACACTGCACCCTTAGCTCCTAGGGGTTTGGTTGATGCACCCTCTAACCTTTGTGGGTACTGAAGACGTTGTGGACTATATTTCCCATCAATCTGTTAGCCAAGAAAGTACAATCCACAGCACTTTGAGTTTAAAGCCCCCCCCCCCAAACCTTAACCTTAAATCCTAATTCCATAATCCTAAAACAAAATCAATTGTGAATGTAGTATAAAGCCATTACTTGCTATAAACGCTCACTGCATCTCATAACATGCTTAATATTTTAATTCCACCTTACAGCACGTTTATGAATGGATACCAGATCCATTTGCTGGGGTGATGGGAGTTACAGTCCAAAAACAAATGGACGAAAAGCCTTGCTCTGCATCCTTTCCATCACCTTATAATAAGACCCAATTCTCACCTTTTCAAACATCTGTCCTGCATTTATTATCTTATGGAAGATACATTCACCATAACGAACTTCACATTTATAGTAAAGGTTTATTTAGAACTAAATTTGAAGAAAACCCCCCCCCCCCCATAAATATTACCTTTAAGATCCCCGGCTCCGTCTTTGTTGCTGTCTTTAAAAGACTTGGGATAGACTTGGTAAATAGGGCTACTTTGCCACCAGTCGAGACACCTTGGAGAAAGAGCTATTATTGCAATTGTTGCAGCGATGATCACTAATGTAGCTGCAATGATCAACCAAAAAATAATCTCTCGAGTTATTCTGTAGCCTGGTCTTCTAGAAAACTGAAGAAGTACCTCTTTGGGCATCCCAGCATAAGGCTTCAAGGTAAGAGGATCTAATGAGGTTGCGTTTATTTGAACAGCATAAACATGAGCTTCTTCAGTCTGGCTGTTTTTTCTGCTGGCCACCTTTTCCTCGCCATCATAATCATAGTCTGGTACAAAACCGTTGTTTTCCACAGCCGTTTTTTGTTTTAACTCAACGGAGCCTTCAGACATATTTGCAGAAGCTTACGTATCTTGTCCTGAGATAGGAAGAACTGATGGTGAATCCCTGCAACTTCACCTTTAAATAGTGCAGCTCAGGTCAAGGTACACTTAAACAAAAACATACGAAGTTCAGGTAATCATTGATTTCATACAGCTGCATTCCGAGATTGATTGTCAGAAGCAAACAGACTCTTCTAACCCTCTATTTAAAGATGATTAACAATTGTTTCAAAATCACATTTTTAGTCCAAGCTGAGAATGCAAGTGATATTTGGTAATGCGATACAATGAGATATTTCAAGTGAAATGGAATGTGTGGTCACGTGGATTTCAAATCCCAAAGGAGTACAAAGAGTCCATTGTGATTCTTTATAAGATTGAAATGTTTTTATTAGGACATACACGTATGATTCTCAACAAAAGAGACTCTATTTTATGCTTTTCAACAAAGAGAAACATAAAAACTCATTGCATTTTACTAAAAAATACTTTGTCGGTGGCCTGGGCAGTCCTGAATTAAGAAATATTTTTTATTACAGTTTGTCAAATAAAGCTAATGTGAGCATCTGTATGCTCTGTAAACACAGGTCAAATTGTTTTCCTGGTTTGGATCTTTTAGGTAGGATCTTTTAAGTTTACACCTAATCCCCTACTGACAGTGACGCACAATAGTAAACTCAGCAGGGGGCTTCCTCCTGCAGCGTGGCCATTCTTGGATTGGGGGGATTCCATCCCTATGGTTCTACGGGAGGGAGGGCTGTAGGAGCTGGATACGTTACTAGGGGAAAACCTCAAAGTCCCTTGACTTCATTTCGCTACGCACAACTGAAACATTATTATGAATTATAAGCTTCTTTCTTTGTGGTACAGGACTTCAGTCCTTCTACATAGAATCTTCCCTGCAGGTCCGCCCACATGCTGGAGACGCCAAGATGGACGGGGAACTTTGCTGCAAATTTGGTGGGGATGCCCTAAGATAGCCCCCTTATGGGTAATGGTAAGAGAGGTTGGGACTTAAATTTTAGGAAATTCGGTTCCATGGAACGCTGAATTAGTTCTGCTACACATGGCTGATATGCCTATGTCCTAGTATAAGAATTCCATCCTACGATACATGCTTAATGCTGCTAAGGCTTTGATCCTCGCCCTGTGAAAATAGATGGGACACCTATGAACGACTATTGGTTACAGTAGGGTTGAGGAGATACAGGTCGCAGAGACTGCATATGTTGCTATTGTAGGTACAAGCACTAAACACGTAGAACATTGGCTACCGTGGTTCACATTTCTAGCAGGGCGAGTGGGATGATGTTTTCTATTATGTCACTTTTGCAGTAGAGACCTGCGAGTCTCACTTTGTATTCTTTTTCTATTTAATATAAAAAAAACTTTGAATAAAAAAAAAAAAAAAAAGAATTAAGGTTATTCACTGTAGTATGAATTATATGGATACGGTTGAACACATTAGAACAACGTAAGACATGACTGTCTAGCTGTATGTCAGTGGTGATAAGTTTGTCTGTACGTGGGCCCCTGGGTTTGAATATATTGAAGGGTGCCAAGGTGGGGTGGAAGTGCCAGGTAAGGCGCTTGCCAGGAAGATGTACTCAATACAAAAAACAGGTTTTTAAAACACCATTTTTGGTTGGAGTCATTGGCGGATCCAGGAAGGGGGCACAACAGGGCAATTGCCCCCCTCCCCCCGAGATGCTCCCCTGCCGGCTAGCCCTGCTATGTGCCTGCGGACCGGGGAAGGAGATCAGAGATCTACCACGGCAACGCTCCAAATCTCGCAAGAGTGAACTCTAGCCCTGGAGCTGCGGGCTAGAGTTCACCTCACCACCACCAGAGATTCCAAACCTGACCACCAGGGAATCCCACTGGACCACCAGGGAACAAAATATTCCCCCATCCTCCCAGTAAAGGTAAGAAGGGAGCGGGGACATAAATATATATATTTTATTAAATACATTTTTTTTATTATTAAAAAGCCCTCCTCCTCCCCATACAAACAATGCCCCCCATACAAACAATGCCCCCCATACACACTGCCCCACAAACACTGTCCCCATACAGACACTGCCCCCATACACACACTGCCCCCATACACACACTACACACACTGCCCCACAAACACTGTCCCCATACACACACTGCCCCACAAACCCTGTCCCCATACACACACTGCACACCCATACACACACTGCACACCCATACACACACTGCCCGACAAACACTGCCCCCCATACACACACTGCACACACAGACACATACAGTGCCCTACACACACTGCTGTCCCCCCATACTCACATTGCCCCACACACATGACCCCCCATACACACACTGCCCCACACATACATACAGTGCTCCCCATACACACACTGCCCCACACATACACTGCCCCCTAACACACACACTGCAACCCTGACATACACTGCCGCACTCACACACACACTCCACCTCTAACACACACCACTGCTCCTATGCCCTATATCCCAGCAGACCCCAGATAAGTTGTCAAACTGTTCTTAAACGGTATGACTACTTACACTGTGGTGGGATCCTGGCACTACTGGCACCATAACTACTGCACTGAGCTTTAGTGGTTATTGTGCCTGGATTATTTATTTAAATAATCTACAAGTGCCCCTCCCGAGATCAGGTTCTGGATCCACCACTGGTTGGAGTAGCCCTTTAATGGAAAATTTCCCCGTGCATTAGTAGATACAGCATCTGCTAAAGAAACCAAATATGAAGTCAATTAGAAAAATAATAGGTCTCTGGTCAACAATAAATGGGCTAGCTCTTTTAGTGGCACACTTTACATCTGGCCTAGGGCAGAACAAAGGGTAGTTGCTCACTGCAGTGAACCAGCGGCAACTCCATCACAGCACCTGCCCCTTTATGTCAACTTCTATCTGCCCCCTCCTACAACCATATCCACAGTGGAAGTTCGTGGAGCTGTACTACAGGTGCAACCAAGTGGGACACATCAAGACTAATTGTCCCCAGAGGAACCGATCTGCATAAACCATCAACCAAACAGCCCCCCTAGGGCTACCACCCATTGTGTGCACAAGGAGCAGAGATGGAATAAAGCTGACCCTGTACAAGCTGCCAGAGACAACTGACAACACCACCGGCAGTTGTTCAAAATGAATATTTGGAACACTGCAGAGGTCACTCAGCAACTTTAATGGAGTTGTAGTGTTAAGCCCATCTTCGGCTATCTATATCACCCCCAGACCAATGGCCTGTGCAAGCACTTTAATGGAACACTTAAATAGATGCCCAGGAACTTAATGGGGTCATGTAAAATTTGGGAGCGCTTTCTTTCCCATCTATTATTTGCCTACAGTGAAGATTTAGAGAAGTCTACTGACTTCTCCCTATTTTAATTATTATATGGGCGGCGGGTGAGGGGGCCTTTAGACCTGTTGGGTGAACATTGGGTAGGACTAACCACTGGGGGGATGGGATCCCCATTCGGCCCTATATTTTGGAGCTATGAGACTGCCTGCAATCCTTTACTTGGTCAGTTGGTGAGAACTTGCAGGCTGCCCAAGAAAATATGCTTGAAAAAGCCCCGATAGGTGGGGCGAAACGAGTAGAGAGTTGACAGAATTGAACACTCTGTGGGAAAGGAGAGAGGCTTTGGTGGAGATACTGTGGTCAAGTATTGGAGCTCCACCACGGTAAAGTTTGCTTTGATATTCTAAAAGACATTTAGTGTTTTTTTGTGTGTATATTTTCCTTGTTCAGTAGATTCCTACATCCATCATAGATTGTTTTGGTTGTCATATTTGTATAGAATTCCTATAATTATTTAATATATTTTTGTATCTATTTTTAAGATGCCTTTGGTTTGATTTCCATTAAGAGCAGCCACGAGACGTGTTTAGCAATAGAATGCATTAATAGTTCACTTTAATACACTGTAGTTCCTGAAGCGCGAGGCGACATGGAGGCAGAAACTCACTCAGAATCCATCTTTTTGCCGCTCATGGGACCTTGTTTAATAGTCATAAAGAAACCTGGGTGTTCCCTCAATGTTCTCCCTCCCCTTCTGGTTGGCCAAAAGTAGGCCCCTAAACTCTGGTGGGCCCTGGTGCCATTGCACCGCCCATAGATGTATGTATATATATTATTAGGAGTCTCACCCAAGGACACATACTGGTGAGGTGGAGTAACCAGGATGTGAACTTGGGATTACCAGTTTTGTTACCACGGATCTAACCCACTGATATTTGTTATGTTGCTAATACTAGGACCGCCAACTTTTTGTGATGTTCCTTCCTTGTTATTTCCCATATGTGATTACAGTTTTTTCTTCATCACCTCTTTCCTCTCTTCCTTATTGTATTACTTTATATCTTCCGTCACCAAACCATCCTTCCGGTGTCTTCCTCTCAAATTAAAATAAAAAATAAAAAAAAATTCTTAACCTAATTGTTACATATTTTTGAAAATGTAAATTGGTTCATGGTTTATTTCAGACAAGGGGTTAATTTACTCTCCTCTTCTAATATCTAGTCCAGGGAGTAGAGATAACTGCACCTTTCTCTGTTCATACATTCTCTGCATGTTTCTATGGCAAGCAATCTGTGATTATTTGCTCTGTGAATCGGTTATCTGTCTGAGATTTAGTTAAAGTATTAATGTTTACCTTGATGTGAAAGATGGAAGCCCTGTTATACAGAAGAGTGGGGACAGGCAAGTGTTATCTCAGATCCCCATGGAAATATTCCTATTCTATATATATTATAATTATAACAAAGATGAAGAAAGACAAAATGTTTACTTACCGTAAATTTATTTTTCCTTACGATTAGAGGCAGTCCAGCATTGGGATATCACAATTGCCTTCTGGCAAAAGGCAGGCAGGACATACAAAAAAAACAAAAAACTCTTCATACTATAATATCCTCAGACAAAAATACCCTAGAAAGTACATAAGCCGAGATCAGGCAAAAAATTGTTTATTTAATATGGATGGAAATTTAAGTGCACTGCCTCTTATTTTAAAGGGACACTATAGTCACCCAGACCACTTCAGCTCAATGAAGTGGTCTGGGTGCCAGGTCCCTCTAGGGTTAACCCTGCCTGATGTAAACATAGCAGTTTCTGAGAGGCGCATCGGGCATATTATGCCTCAATCACGCAGAGCGTCCTTGGAAAGCATTGAAAAATGATGCTGACATCGGCAGGGGAGGAGAGGTAAGGGAGCCCGGCGGGGGAAAAGGGTGAGTAGCTGAAGGGGTTTTA